ACTGCTAACATTGACATAATAAAGTGATTCCAAATAAATAACTTGATGCCTCTCAAGGATTCACCAAATCCAAAGTTTTGAGAACGAAGAAAATTATAAAGATCAGAGTGGAACATGATAAAATTGAAACTAAAACAATGTACAGGATGAATGAATCAAAGTGTTAGTTTTTTGAAAGAATGAACAATATTGATAAACCCAAAAGAAGAAAAGACCACCATAATGCAATTAAAAGTGAAAATAATCACAATAAATACAAACAACCCAGATGATTAAATTATTTTTTAAAACTTAATTTCCTATAAATTGGAGAATCTAGAAGAAATGGATACATGCCTAGACACATAAAAATTACCAAAATTGAACTAAAGATATAAAAATCCAAAAATAGACTAGTAATAGGCAATAAATCCAAGGCAGTTAAAAATTCTATTAATTAAGAAAATTCTACAATGTGATAGATTCTCCACAAAGTTTTTCTTTAAATTCAGAAAGTAACTAATATTAATACTCCCCCAAATTGTAATGAAGTTGAAATAAACACTGCCATAATCATTTTTGGAAGCTAGCATTTCCCTGATGCTAAAATCAAAGATTTAAAAAAAGAAAGAAAGAAAAGAGAAGAAAGGAAAGGAAACGCAAGGCAATTTCAATAATGAATATAATGGGAAAATCTTCAACAAGATACTTTCAAGTAGAAGGCCATAATTTTTTTAAAAGATCATATATCAGACCAAGTCAGTTTTAACCCAGGAGTGCCAGGATGGTTGAGCATACATAAATCAAAAAATGTAATACACTACATGAACAGAAGTGAAGACAAATTCACATGATCATCTCAATAGATTTAGAGAAGCCTTTGACAAAATCTAACCTTCAGTCATGATGTATAAACTCTGACATAAGTAGGTATAGAAAGAACTAAACTCAAAAGTGTCAAAGTAATTTATGATAAACTGAATACCAGTCTCATGCTAAGAAAACACTGAAAGTATCTCCTCTAAAATCAGGAACAAGGCAAGAGTTTTCACTCTCACTACTTCTGTTTAATAGTAGCAAAAGCTGAAGCAGAGAAATCGAGTTATGAAAGAAATAAAAGAAATGCAAAGAGCAGAGGAAGGATGAAAGTATCACTATTCACAGAAGACATGACTCCTCACGCAGAAGATCTGAAAACCGCCATCAGGTTCTTAGAACTGATACATATTCAGCTGTAGTCAAATAAAAAAAAATTCACAAAAACCAGCAGTGTTCCTGTACACCAACAAAGAACACACAGAGAAAGAAACTACAAAGATAATACCATTCACACTAGCATCAGAAATTTAAATTCCTCAGAATTAACCAAGGAAATTAAAGACTTTTATAACAAAAACAACAGTATTCAGGGAAAAAAGACAGGTTGAAGAGGATATTAGAAATTGGAGTAACACCTGTTTCTGGGTTGGCAGCAGCAATATTGTTAAAATGACCATATTACCAAAAATGATATATGGATTTAATGTAATTCAAACCAAAATACCACCAGCATGCTTCACAGAACTAGAAAAAACATTCCTAAAATTTACATGCAACTGAAAGAGACTGAGAATAGCCAAAGCAGTTCTGGCTACACACAAAAAAAGCAGAAGACATTACAATCCCTGACTTCAAATTATACTACAAAGCTACAATGATAAAAGCAGATCTGCACTGCCAGAAACATAGCCATATAGATAAATAGAATAGAAGTCAGGATGCAGGTGTAATCCGAGACGCTTACATTTAACTGCTTTTGCACAAAGGGGTCAAAAACATACATGGGAGAAAAAATAGCTTCTTTGACAAATAGGGTCAAGAGAACTGCTTACCATGCAGAAGAACAAATTTAGATGTACAGAGATGTACATTTAGATGTATCATTCTGTGCTCAAATCAAATCAAAATGGCTAAATAACACATAGAATAACACATAGCGACAGAATCTGAATCTGTTAGGAGATTAAAATAGGTAAAACCCTTGAAGACACAGGCACTGGAAACATTTCCTGAAGATATCCCCAGTTACACAAGGAATCATAGCAGAAATCAATAAACAGGATATGAAATAAGAAAATTTTCTGTGCAGCAAAGGAAGTGGCCACCAGAGTGAATGTGCAAACTGTAGAGTGAGAAACGTTTTGCTAGTTACTTCTCTCACAAAGGACTAATCTGTAGAATATGCAAATAATTTCAAAAGACCCCCTAAGACAAAAGGCCCATGTAATAATGGGCTATTGAAGTACACAGACACTTCTCCAAAGAAGACACATGAATGGCCAATCAGTACAAGAAAAATGTTGAGCGTCTCTGGCTATAAGAGAACTAAAAACGAAAACAACACAAGCCTCCATCTTACTCTGGAAAGAACAGCTGTCACCCATTCTTAGAAATCCACAAATGCTGGAAGGCTGCATGGGAAAATTGTCCTTCTGTGTTGTTGTTGGGAATGTAAACCAATACAACCGCTATTGGAATCAGTATGGAGAGTCTTCAAAAACTAAACATAGAAGTTCCATGTGACCAAGTTATAACTCCTGTGTGTTCCTTCCTGAAAGGGTGAAAGGTGTCATACTGCAGAAATACATGCGTGGCCATATTTCCAAGAGCACACTTCATAGTAGTTTAATTATGGAAGCGGCCTACCTGCTCATCAGCAGATGAATGAAAGAAGAAAATGTGGTATTTATTCACAAGGGTGTACCACTTAGCCAAAAGAAGGATACACTGAGTCATTTGTAGAAAAGTGAATGTAAAGACATAAGGATAGTGAAATAAACCACAGACGCTTAAATATCACATAGTTTCCTTAATGTGAGTAACTCAAAATCTCAGTAACTTGAATAATAATACAAAAGATGATAAGAAATAGGGAAGCAGACTGTGTGGAGGTGAAAAGGGGACTGGGGAAGAGTGAAGGGGAGAGTGTGGAGAGGAGAAGGAGAGCAGAAATGATAAAGATGCGGTGTGTACATGCACCCAGTGCCCAACATTCGTGTTATTTCTGTGCACTTAAAAACACGCCAATAAAATAAAGAAAAACTGCATACAATAAAGAACTCTGTGATCTGATGAGTCGTTTTAATCCAGCAATGCTCCTGAATATCACCCTTACAACTGTTAAGACATACATACGGCTAAGTGAAATAAATCACAGAAGCTTAAATATCACATAGTTTCTTTAATGTGAGGATTATTTTAAATGGAAAATACTATTAAAAGACATTTCAGTACAGAATTTCCTTGGAGAAAGTAGATAATAGGGCAGCAGAGAGTGGGTACAGAATCCAAAGTCTTTGGAAGGCCTCTCTCTCTAGATAGATAGATTCATGAAAGCAAATGAGTTTTCAACCAGAATTCCTATCTGTGTGCCTCCTAGAGTATCTTGGACAGTCCCCTTCATTAGTCACAGCTCCTTCCTGAAAGGAGTGTCTGCTACCAAGTGTATAGGAAAAGGTTTTCTGCAGAGTCACAGAAATGCAATCTATTAGGACCAATCATGCAGGCTGAACTGATCATTTGGTCATAAAATAAAATGCCCCACAATCAATTCTATCTGAAATCATAAAATCACCATTTTATTCTACCTCTTATCTCTAGTTATCAAACCAAAATAAATCAAGATTATTTTTACTTGAATGGACTTTCACTTGAGTGAAATATTAAATGACTTAGTCTGTCTTTCAATTGCAGAACAAATACCAGACACTCCTGACTTAGAGAGGTTAGGCTTACTTCACTCATGGATTCAGAGGAGTCAGTCCATAATCAGTGGATGTGAGGCAGAAACATCATGGTGAAAGAGCTTAGGACAAAGCTGGAAAGCAGAGTAGAGAACAAGGCCAGTGGAACAGGACCGAGGACCCTGTGTCGTGCCAAGGTCATGCCTTAGAGGCCAGGCAGACACACCCAGAATTGGGCTTTATTGGTGGCTCTCAGCCCAGTCAAGTTGATGCTTCACCTTGACTATCACAACAAATATCATCAGAACTGTTGAGCGCTTTGCGAAACTTCCATATGCTAGACTGTAAATGTGCCATTCTTTTTCTATCCTGCCAAAATATGCACTCCACAAAAGTGCTAATTTAGTTTCTGGGGGACATAGTTCCTCCTCTTCTTCTCTTCCCTTCTCTTACTTTTTATCCTGCAACTCTTTAGCCTTTTATACCATGTGATCATCTTTGAGCTTCAAATATATCAGTGTATTTACAGGGTATTTTGCTTTATATAGAAGTATTCAAAAGATTATCTGACATTTGTTCTTCAAAATTAGTAGCAAATACAAGTTTGAACCTCTTTAAAGAATCGAGATTTACTACTCTTTTGAGTGGATTACCTAGAAAACTTACTTGGTGTTCTGTGTACTCCAGCAGAAGCAGGACAGCAGTTTTAGAAATCAGAAACTACATCATTTCATTAGCAAAGGCATTCATGTGAATTATATAACCGCAATACATATACACACACATACTTAAAAAGAACTCTTATTGGAAAAAGAGAAATATCTTCAGTCTTTTCTATGCTATATTAGGATTATGTACATTTCTCATTTCAATAATAAATTATATGCCAATGACAATTCCTTTCAGCTAAAACCCCTTCATTGTCTGAATTATTTCATTACTATTTGAGGTCAATAAGGATCATGCTCAGAAGAAAAGTAAGCAAGCTAAGTGGTTTTTTAAAAAATCAACATATTCCGTTCTGAAAAATTCTTCTTCTGCTTCAGAAATCTCTCAGTTAATGTTAGAAAAAGCATATTACATGATCATTATAATAATCTATGATTCACATCGGTTTTACTTAAAACACAAAAACCCATTTCCATGACGCAGAAAGCATCTCTCTGTCGCAGAGAAATGAATCGCACACCTTTCCATTTACCTTTGTGCAGGGTACCAAGGTGACAGAGCGCAGCGGGTCTGCCTCGCTGAGGACGGGATTTGGAGCAGACCGACTACAGCGCATCAAGGGGAAATTACCTTTGAGAGGTCCCCAGCCTCCAAGTAGAAGCAGATCACAAACACATTCCACGTAACCCAGAGGACCAGCCAGATGGCGTACTGTGGAGAAGCAGGACAGACACGAGGTGAGGTTAATTAGGAGCCATGTGAGCAAGGTTCAAGCACATCTAGAACTCCTGAACTCCCCATCGTAAGGTGAGCAGGGGACACGAGCTATTACTCCAAGGAAGGTGGCTAGATCTACATTTATCTCTGTTGATCACTTCTCATCCTTACCGATTCGCTCAGGATGACACTTCAAACCTGCTGAAGGATAATGTTAGACAACAGAAATAGTGCCCTGCACTTCTGCTTTAAAGAAGAATGGCTTCCATTTCTAGACAAGTATTTTTAAAATATGGATGTTCCTATAGGCATAGTGAATGTATCAAAAAGAGAATTCATTTTTATCCAGTACCCCTTTACGTAGGGTAATGCGCAACCTTTCTCCACGTTATCTATGGTCGCCTTCAAGGCAGTCCTCGTGCCTCCCTGCCAATCAGCTTCCTCTCTTTCATTTCTCCACTCATCTTAACATCTTATTCTCCCATACTCTCCCGAAACAGTGGGCAGCTAGCTATATTCCTAACTCGATTCTGCTGTCTCCTTTGTGCACCTTCTGAGGTGCTGACAAATTTTCCACCCGTGTCCCATGGTTTCCTCCACGGCTCATCATTCAGTCAGCTGGTATTTATTAAGCACCTAGAAGACAACATATTGGGAAGACACTGAAGACAGAAAAGCAAGGACAAATTCTCCTTGCATTTAAGTGACAGAATAGTCAGGAGAAAAAGGTGATCACTTCACAGGAATCTTAAAATGATATATAATCTGGGAAAACCAAGGAAGGTGGCTGCCGTACAGAGCCCAGGCCTGGACAAAGTCCTGTAAGTCTAGAAAGAGGGGTGAAATACCTCTGAGGAGTGGGGAACCACACTCGCTTACGGACTTGATGGAGTCAAAATGAGGCGTTAGAAGGGTGATGGGATAATGGGAGGATGGTACCCTCAACAGAGGAAACCACAGTTGTAAATCTGTAAAACACTGCAAGACTAAAGAAAATCATGCCAGGCTTTTGGTAAATGAGTCCCCATGGCTCTCATCTTTTCTATGGTAAGTTTCAAATCTTCATTTTATTGTTTGAAATACCCCAGGATCTTGTACTGTGCTATCTTCCAAATCACATATTTCTGTTTATTTCCTGGGTCATCCTGTAACCCCACACTTTGCTCACTTGCTGTTCTATGAACCTGGAAACTTACGTTTCATCTGTGAATCTCTTTGTGCCCTATTCCTTTCTCCTGGAGTGACTTTTTCATTTCTCTTGCTAGTCCTCCTACTCTCTGTTAATATTTACTCTTTAGAGGTCAATTCAAAGACCTTCTGAGTTCTTCCCAGTCAGCATTGGTGGAGTCCTGCACAGTGCTATAGTTGACTTTGCCCTAACTGTATTTTAGGAATACATCTAATTATTTGCCTATTTCTCCACTTCACAAGCATAACTCCCATGAGTAAAGGGACTTTCATAAAATTGCATCCATATGGCTAAGTTCCCAACTTTGTATTTTAGATGAAATAGTCTGCAGGAAATACTTGGTGAAATCAATGAATTGATTAGGAGCAACATGGAAAAGTCTTACTATTTTCAAGAGCAGTACTAATTCTTCTCTCCTGGACCTAGCTCTTCCTAGAGGACTATGGTCATTTATATAGTGAGAGGAGCACTGGCCCTTCCTGAGATCGTGTAATAATAAATGGGGACTTGGGCTTTCCCAAAGGTGATGGGGTCATCTGCCGGCTGAATTTCTGCATTTCCCACTAGAGCATAAAATGAAAGCCAAACCAAACAGCACAAAGCCAAAGAAAAGGTGTGAGAGGCTGTCTAAGGGGAGCCCCTGGAGCCAAAGATGAGATCCAATCCTAAGGCGGAGCACACTAGCGCAAAGGAGAAATCTCAGTTAAAGAATACAGAGCAAATGAAGCATTTAAATTTGCTCTGTATTGCAAAATACAAATTCATGTCACTAGCCTTTAAAAACACTGAATTCCATAGTCATTTGATTATGTTAGAAATATAATGAAGAGCCAGGTACCTGCCTATGCTCCCAGCACTGTATGAGGCTGAGTTGTAAATTTCAGCGCAGGCTTGGCAACTTAGTGAGAAACTGTGTTTTTAAAATACCCTAAAATAATAATAATAATATGTACAAAATGATAATAATTAAGGGCTGGGGTGTAGCATATTATACAGACTCTGGGTTCAATTCTCACCATGGGGGTGGGAGGGTTATCTATCTATCTCTATAAGTAAAGTGCAGAGACAGATTCAGTCATTTTATTTACATAAGAAAGAATAAAAAAGAGAGAATGAAAGAGGGAGATAGAGGAGGGAGAGGGACAGACAGACAGATAGATCAGTTGACCAGCAATTAGGGAGATTATAATGTTTTGTTATGTTCTATATTTATAATTGTTGTAGTCAGGCTTTGTGAGAACAATTAGAATCAGGACACAGAATTGATAATATTATTTTATGTTGGTCACCCAGAGTTTAACACAAGAAAGTGCAAGAAATCTGTCCACAACACTAAAGACACAGAATATTCAGCCAAGGGCCTGGATCCCACAGCAATGTTCTGCATGAGTCCAGATGAAAACTTAGAGCCCATGACAATGCGTCCCATGAGTCCCACTGGAAGTCTAGAGCCCATGAGAAGGACTCACGCCAGTCTGTTTTATGGATACGTGCTGGCAAGGCCCAAAGGTCAGCAGTGGAAGGTAGAAAGTCTATGCCAGGGGGGTGAAGGAGCTGTGCTGGTAGATTGAGGGTTCTATGCTGGAGCTGAGAGGTCACACTGATAATAAGAACCAACACTGCCCTGAAAAGTACCACAGCCATCTTCAGTGACATGGAGCTCCCAAGCTTGTTTGATGATAAGAACAATCGAGTGTATGCCAGAAAGCCAGCATGACAATTTCATCCTGGAAATTAAACAGCACAGTCTTCCCCTCTGGAGCCAGTAAGGTATGCTCGATGTAAGGACCAGAGCTCCCCCAATGTGAACCACAGCCATTCTCACCAACAAGGTCCCAAGCTCCTCCAAAGACAATGGTCAAACTCACACTGGGCAAGCCAGCATGATGAGCTCCTCCAGGAGAACCAACGGTTCAAGCAGCAGCACTAGAGAAACCCACACCTTGTTCTTCTCCACATTTCTATTTATGCTGGCAACTTCTTTCAGGTAGGCCATCTACGCTCAGCACCATGATACTTTAATCTGGCTGGATTAAGTTAAATTGACCACCAGTTTTTAATCCATAACAATAATGGATAGTTTTTCTTTATTTACAACGGAGAGATAAATAAGCTATTTACTATAAACCAAAATAGCGGGGTACTAAGTTATTTGGTAAGAGCTGATGAAAGATACCGTAGAAAAGGCACCAAGTACTCTTCAACTCTTTTCACTAGTGGGCACACTTCCTGATGCAGCATGAGACAGCACCAGTACTTATTTTTAATATTTAACAAGTGAAATTATATATTAAGCTAATTATATGCTAAGTCTACTACTTGCATAATGCACTATCTTGCCATACTAATAACCTTAATAATATATACTTAATACCAAATAAGAACTTAGAATTTTCATCCTGATGTAGACATCTTTTGTATTTTATTATTTATGTTTATGTGCAAATATCAATGTAAACACTTAGTTTCATAGAGAAATACAGCTAATATGTTTAAAGTTAATAATTTTATATAAGGATGAATAAGATAATAGATTATGTAAAAATTAATAGCACAGAGATTCAGAACTTGCAATACAGTATCCAACTTTGTCAGAATGTCACCCCATTCCAGTTTCCTCCCATAAAGCAGCTTATTACCAGCGGCAAACTATCAGGATGGGCTTCCATGAGGAAGGGAAGAGCAAAAGTACTTGATTCTCCATGTTCACGGAGGTCTCCGTGCAGGCTGCCATTTCTCCGTGTAGGCTGCCATTTCTCCGTGTGACCCATCATTTCTGCGCCTTAGAATAGTACGGCACTGCCCTCAAAAGGGTACTGAAAAACAGATCACCTGCTTTAACCCATGGAAAGTATCGATGCGGGAACTAGAGCGTGCAACCCAGACTCACTAACTCCGACGCGTGTTTCCCTAGACGAGGAGATAAGGGCCTTTCACTATTTTACTGCCAATGTTGACTGGTGGCATTTTGAGGCAAAACATATTTTTCATTTGACATCATTAAAAGTAATTTATTATTTCCGTTTAACAGCTCATATAATTATCATGCACTTTCTATATCTTGTTTTAGAAGGTGCTTGTGACAGTAATTACTGGTAATGATCTTGTGCAACTCTTTTAGCCTTTGTTTCTCTGTAGTCACCATCCACAGATTTCACCTATTTTAAAATATCTTATTTTATCTTACTTATTATTGTCCCCTTATTTAACTTGTTTAAGCCTCTTTTTGTCTTTCTCTTAATTTCTTTCATTACTCTTTCTTGTTCTTGCTTTTCTCATGTTAATAACTAGGATTTATCTGAGCTAAACGCTTTCCCACTGGTTTTCGCCTCTTTGCCTAAAGATGGATGGAAAATTCACACCCCTTGTAACGTGGCTTACATTTTTTGTCAATAAATTCTATTGTTCACACTGCTCTTAAAATGATTCATCCCAATGGTGTAAGAGTACGAAGGGCCGTCTAGCATGCTTCCAGCTGCTGCAGCTACGAGAGGGGATATAACTGACAATTGTTTGGTTTGACTATAATTGGAGAGGAAATTTTGCCCAGGAGAGGTAACCTAACAGGATAACAGCCGGAGACTACAGTTTTCTGCGGTGAAACTTACTTGCCTTAGTCTCATTTTGTATTCTTGTGAAAAAAGCTCATATTCTATGCTTCAGAAACAAACTTTGAGCTATTATATGAGATGCAAAAAAAAGCCCATTGTGCAGTGAACTCTCCCTGTGTGACGTGCCCCGGGAGCGCCTGAGCGGCCGATTCAACATGAATCCTCAACTGTCCGTTAGAAGAGTAACTGAATCA